ATCTGCTGTACGGCAAGCAGTTGGTGACCACGTCACAACGAGGGAAGTTAACCACCAAGATGCGCCGGTGGAACGTGATGTTTTATGGAGATCTCCCGTACATCTGAGGAACTGCTACTTCCGGGGACGATTAACAAGTGGTGGTAATCGAGAGATCCGACGGACCGTATTACTCTCGACTTCAGCGTCTACGAGGATAGAGCTGGTCTGTTGAAGGTGTTATATGTCTTGGTGTTGTTGCTCCACGGAACGGCCAAATTGACGAAGCGATCGTATGCGTGTAATCTAGCCATTCGTATCCGATGAAAACGAGAACGGAAGATCGTGCTGGATGATGGCTTCATCGAACGGACGATCAAACTTACACAGAGCGATGGTGAAATGGACGTTGAGCGACTCAAAAGCGTATACGAGACTCCGCGAGGACTAAACGAAGGCAGCCAGATCGCACATCTGCAGACTGTGAAAAAAGTTGACGTTGTAGCAAGACGGCCGTTTTGTTATGAAATTGCCTCCGGTTTGTTATCTGTTGAGCGAGTGGTTCATATTTTGCTGACAGCGTTGCAGTATTGGCATGGGTGCGAGTACTGCCACCGTGATATTCGATGGTGTAACATTGTGTTAGTGCCGACCTCTGGGGTCAGCTCTTGGGTGTTGATAGACATCGACGAGTCACGTCAACCCAACACAACGACTATTCGGTGGATCCACCGGTGTCATGGCCACAAATTACGAGTCCAGCACGACTGAGTCAGCTTGGTCAGCTGATGAAGGAGCTCCCCTCTGAATTTTCCGGCGATCTGAAGACTATGCAAGCGATGCTTCTATCGGTGGTAGATACGCTGGAGTTGATGGCAGAAGTTGCGCTTACAACGCTGGAGGCGTACACTCGATCCACTCTTTTAAACGGCTTTCCAAACCGGTTACATTATGATGTCATACTTACTAAAGTTGCCGTGGTGCTTCAATCTAATGGTGAATTGACAAATTGTGGGAATGCTAATTTTCGGAGCCAACCTCATATAACTAGAAGGACTGTGAATACGCTGACAACCAAGCTCCCAATTTCCATTTATATGTCTCTTCTTCTCTATACCCTAACCAATATCTAATTGTAATTTTAAAATCTGGGAAACCGACCAGCACATAATTGTTAATATTTCAAATCACGAAGTTCCGAACTTCACGCACTTACTGGATTTTAACCAACAGTCACTCTAATGACACCGTACAGTGTATCCAAATTCACATTGATAGGGCATTCAAGGCATCAACCGGTGATACCGTTGATACTTTGAGCTGCTGTGATTCATCTTTCTGCCAATGAACCCGAAATTAGGTGGGGTATGACCTCATCCTAACACAGTAGTGCAAAGGATTCTAGTGTATCTCATGAAAAGACAAATTTTAATCAACTTGGTTAAGACAAATTAGCGAGATTCAATTCACCATGCTAATTTGCAGCAAGTCCTATATTGCAATCGGCGTTTGCGCCGGAATATCGACTGTATAACGCTTTTGGAAGCAGCCATTTCCGGCACAGATACTGATTAATGCACATCCAAGCTCTTGTTACTCCCGCAAAATCTAGCGCCAGGTCGGGAAGGGTCCTTCCTGTCACTAAATCCGCTTCGTTTTTTGTGCCGTAAAAAGCGTCAATGGCGCCGCGCTGTTCTGCTGGCAAGGACCAACGCAGTGTGAAGCATTATTCTTTTGCTTTGGAAATCTGAGGGCAACAACCGCGGAAAGTATCTCGTCACAGTGTCCACAACTCCCACCACAATAAAGATAAAGGGAAATTGAATGATCGTTGAGGACTCCCCACACTCATTGTACCATGCCCACAATGACGGGCTTAACCATGAAAAATGATGAAGCGACTTACCCTTTCGCCAGTATGAACTGCATCGCCTCAGCGTATTTACCGTTTTGCAGCTCGTAGTGCTCATCCTCAATAGTAATTACTCATTTTTTCTTAAGCAAAGAGCCTCAACTAATATAATTAAATACAGTATCGATTTTGAATGGAAAAGCGTCTTTACCTTGATTAAGTTTTTAGTACTCTTGGATGTAGCGAGCGGATTTCGATCCACTACACTCGTACTAGTTCTTGTATAGAACGGAAGGTCGGAGGCCTTAGCTCAGCTTTCGCTGAGCAAAGAGCTACAGACGCCCCGCTTCACTTGGTAGCACTTGTATTTAATCTACGCCTGACGCGCTGCGACTGATTCTCTGTGACGATGGAGCAATAATCCTATTTGCCCTAGGGCATGCAGCACGGCCTTACTAAGCCGATGTCCCTGCTGAGCCCTTGGGGTGCGGAACACCTTGTTTCGCAAGAGCCCGAAGCATTAAACGCGGGTCTAGAAACGTTTTTGAGCTATGAAAGAGCTCTGCTCGAGCACCTACAGCAGAAACTGTCAGCGTCGACTGCGTCCACGACGCCACCGTCGACGACGGATGACTCCTCGCAAACCCGGTCGCTAATGGTGAGCGTTAAGACTTTCGAGAGAAAGGATAAAAAGAAGTTCCTGCTCTCAGCTTTTGCAAGCTTTCTCGCCGCCAAACCAGGTAAATCGCGTGCGATCGCGTTTTCTTGCCGACCGATAGGGCAAGAAGGAGTTGGTGAACTTTGTCCAAGAGTTAAAATTTCTTATTGTTGGGATGGCAGCCGATAATCCCCTGACGGCGGTCACAGTGACCGTCTTTATGGAGGGTCTCCGCACTATCGTGGCCAGAACGAAAGTCTTCAGTGCGCATCCGTCTTTTTCTGAAGAGGCGGTAAATGTGGCATTGAATGCCGAGTCATATTCAAGTCAACACGACTTGGTTGGAATGCGCACTCTCGAAGCTCGTCGAGCGGGCCTGAGCCAATAATCTCAGCTATGCTGAGAAAAAAGAAGGTAGAGATCCTAGCGTTTAAACACTTGACGGTGTTTTGCCTGTGTAGACACCCATCACCGTCGGACTTATTGTCCCCATGCGCAAAACGCGTCAAGGTTCATCGAATTGTTCCGATTCTCACCTGTCTGGTCTGTCAAGAGGAAACGAGAACATCCAGTAGGTGCGGAGCGCCCTACTGAGGGAGATCTGAGTTCTGTTGAGCCTCTGGGAGGCATAGGTCAACAGGGCCCAGCCTCGAAGAGCTACGTGCTCTTGAACACAGAACGTGTATGCAAGCCGGGCTTGTTGGTCGTGAAAGCGACCGTGAAGGGCTATGAAAGCCATGGAAGATTCGTATCGATTCCGGAGCGTCGAGCAGTTATGCTGGACACTCCACGATGGAA